TTAATAGCTGCTCAGAGCTTTTTGATGATTGGGTTGCTTTTACTTAAACACGTAATAGATACTTCACATTGTTTTCTGTATTATTTTAATAGACAAACTGCAGAAGCAAGATTGTAGCTCAATGATAAGACACTTATCTCACATGTACAAGGCTCTAAGTTTAATCATCAGAACAAAAGAATAAAAGGAGAGGATGGCTGGAAGGGATAGAAAAGGGGTTAAGGGGAGGAGAGGAGAGAAAAGCAGAAGAACTAGAGGGTAAGAAAAATGAAATTTGATTACGTAGCGAGAAAAAGACAAACAGCATTTTGCAACTACTACATATCCCAGTCCCAGTATCCTAGAAGAGTCTGTAGGGAACGTAGACTACACATTATCTCTACAGCAGCCATAGAGTCACAAACTAAGAGGGAAATTTAAAGTCTCTTAATCCTCAATTTTATCCTGTTTTATAGCTGAAAGATATGGTAAATACATATAATTAGAGAACATACTCATAAGTGAAATAAATCAGACCCACATGTGCAAATATTGTATTGTCTCCTTAGTGTGAGAACCTAAAACAAAAAATAGAATCTGAAGGGTACAATAGAAATGGGGAAAAGGGAATGAACTTATTCAAAAGGAAAGAAATACTGAGTTGAGGAGAAGGACAGGAGAGGATAGTGGCAGAAAGAAATTTATCTATGTGTGTAAGCAAGATGGTTTGGATAAATGTACTGTGGATTTCTGCTGCTTTATGGAAAGGAACAGATAATGCTTAATTTGTTTTGTCTCCTTTTTTCAATTGTTTCTCCTTCATCACCTCTTAATTTCTTATAAATTTATTTCTTCTTCCAATTTTGCATACATGTATCTGGTAATTTGAATAACTGGTTGGAAGACAACACTATGCATTACAATACTATGAAATTCACATTATTTGTTAAGTGAAATTCTGTATCACTTGTAATTTTTCTGTTTTAATACTTTTCTACTCTCTTTATAAAATAAAAAGTCATCTACTCAAATATTTAGAGCAAAAGTACAAATGGAGGTCCACACACCATGTGCTTGTATAT